GCATCTCATAAGACCACGGAGGATTTAGAGCAGTAAGCTGTTTCATAACTATTTTTTTTTTAAAAACTTAGTACTAGACTAATCTGAATAGGTACATAACTGAATACACGAGAATAATAAACATACCTACACGATGAATAAAAACGCATGACTCAAACCTTGGTTACATTTCATTTAAGTATTTCTTCATTAGCGGGGAATCGAACCAGTTATTTGGGTTATTTAACCTGTAAATTCGGATTAAAGTGGCTACGTGGAGATAAGCACAGTGGCAAAATAGTAGGTTAAGTAGATAAGTTAGGTATTTAGACACGTGTTGTAAATTATTAGGTATTGTGGGAAGGCCCGCTAGTTGCGGGCCGCGCGAATTTGTGTTCGCGCGTACATTGACCTTTATCTAGCTCAGGTCAGGTGATATCAATTCAGTCATTCCACTGCTGGTTTTATGTTTCAGTATTTTCATGATATTTTTTATGAAATTATCGTTTCATTTAGCTGTACTAACATGATGGCGCGTGAATAAAGCTAATAAAACCTTGTAAAAAGATGATTTTTTTTTCATCAGGATCGAATTTATTTGTGACCCATGATCAAAGGTATACTTGGTGTTGTCGCCTGTCTTAGTTTTCGGGAGCGTTCCAAAAACACCCTGTATACTTGATTGTTCTAGATTTAGTATATTAAAACCTTAAAAAATCAGAAACGATTTTAAATATGTAAAAACTTTTTTGCGCCTCCCCACCGAAAATAGTAACATAGTTAAACATAAAATAACGTATTTATTCAAACAATCAGCTGTTTAAACTTAATATAATGACAGTAACTTTTTTAAACTTAATTTTTAATAACATTTTAAGCTTATGTATCAATCACATGTTTAAACTTATTATAATGAGATGAAATTTTTTTAAACTTATTTTTATAACATAAGCTAATGTGGAAGAGAATTAAAGTAAATTTTAACTTCACGAGAACAAAATTGATTTAAAACTTGAAGGTTGCAATATTTTTCTCATGTGATTTTTAGTGGCCCTGTAAAAAATAACAAATGCTAATAATAATTTATTACTTAAATTAAAAAAAAAACTTGTTGACTAAGAAATAATAAACCTTGGAAACGTGAAGGCGGCAGATAAAATTCATTTTTCTGACACTTCCAAAATTAACTTTTGTTAACACAATATTTTTTTTAATTTACAAAGTACCTTTAATAAGTTTCGTTTCAATCGCCCCGTAAAATAAAAAATAAAAATCATACAAACTGTATACGTCAACTTCTTAGGGGATATGTATAGTTATATGTCAACTTCTTGTAACTGCCTATGTCATCTTCTTAGGGCTAGAATTTTCAAAAATCCTTTCTTAGTGGATATCTACGTTATAAAAGGCAGCTACTGTCCAAATATCAGATTGCTATGTCTAGTGGTTTAAGCTGTGTATTGATAGATGAGTCAGTCACTCCGGATATCCTCTTTTATATATATAGGTGTAAGATATACCTACCTAGATACAGATTTCGTTCGGAAGAACTATGTTGCAATTAAATAAAATGCGCCGTAAATTGTGAAGGCAGAAATCGGCTTATCAGCATTTTTTGTAATTGCAATTTCAAGTATTAAGACAAGCGAAACTTTCTGTTAAGGGATAAAATAAGGGGTTAGTTGTTTTTACCGTATAACAAGGGTGTAATGTAAAAAATCTTACAACTCACTCTAACTAGAGCCTCCAGATACGGCGGTAAACAAGACTGTTCTATCTCTTTTCGACATTTCTTAGTGCGTATTGCATAACAAAACACATAATTTAGAACAGCAGTGTATTTTTTTTCTGTTTTTATCGAACTCGGAATTACAGACAGAGATCAATAAGTAAGCACTCACTCTGTTTTAGTACCTATATATAGTACTATTGTATATTCTGTGGTTTCAATGTGAAGTATTCAATGGTCAGTTAAATAGTTATAGTGTAGTTAGATAGTATTTGTACTGGATATACCGTTACCATTAATGCTAGTTCACGTAGAACACGCGGGCGCGGGGGCAGTAGTCAGCGTGGTGGTGTGGGCACAGAGTAAAGAAGACCATGTGGTTTGGGCGAGCTCGTGTTCACGTTGGCCACCAGGCGTTTTTTTTTATAGAAGAGGGGACAAACGAGCATGCGGCTCACCTGATGGTAAGTGACTACCGCCGCCCATGAACAACCGCAACACTAGGGGAATTGCAGATGCGTTGCCGGCCTTTTAGAAAGGTGTAAGCTCTTTTTTTGAAGGTCCCTAAGTCGTATCGGTCCGGTAAAATCGCCCGTGGTAAACAATTCCACAGAGAAGTTATACGAGGAAGAAAACTCCTAGTAAAACGCACAGTCGTGGACCGCCAAGCATCCAGATGGTGAGGATGGTATCGTGAAATTTGGCGGCTGGAATTAATCCGAACAATGACTTGTTATCAGAGGTTGTGAACGTGGACGACGAACTTTTACTTTTAATCGAAAATTTTTACCTAAAGTGGGAGATGGCAAAAAATAGAATTGGTGTGCGAGAAATTAATAAAGAAAGAGAACTGACAAAGGGGAATAATCATGCGAGGCGAGTCCATTGGTTTGAATGGTGAATGGTTTGTAGCGACAAGTTCATAATTATTGATGTTACCTGAAGTCGCGAGTGAATCTGTCGTGCGAATTTGACGTGAACACACACAAACAACTTCATACGTTTGATATTGCCGCGAGCGCACCGCGCGCGATAGTCACCAGCTTGCTCTTCCACAGCGCGTGTATTTGTACGTGAAGTCGTGAACACTTGCATATAACGCTATGTGTTTGATATTTCGTGACAGCACTTGCCACCGCGCCCGCGAGATGACGTGAACAAGCACTAACAGGTTATCAAAGTCCACCGCTGAACATAGGCCCCCCCATAGATTGCCTCATATGGGGGATATTTGCCATAGTTGCCACGCTTAACAAGCGGGTTGGCAACCACAGTTTTTATTTTTACTCGTTATTAGGAAGACGCTGCTGCTCTTTTCTCTCTGTCGTCTCTTACGACACCCACGGTATAATGGGGTAGTGGATATTCTTACATCGCCACTAAACGGTATTGTATAAACAAACTGTAAATACAACTTCAACGTGACGCAAGCACATACGAATGATTGTTAATTTTTATCTTTACAATGGCTAGACCATTGGCAGACGCTAGTGAGGTTATCGGATGATAAGGTATTCCAACGAAATATTTTGGCGTCTACTCTTTACACGACACAGATACGTGAAATAATAAGTCAGTATAATACATTTAATATTTATGTTTGATAATCTTAATAATTTGTTTTAAATATGCAATATCGAATTTAACAAAGACGATGATCATTTACTAACATTGATGTAATTGCCAAATGCCCAATAATATATACACAGTTTACTTAGAATAAGAATCGATCCATTCATCAGTTTATGATGATGACTAGAATCAGCTAAAAAAGAAATGTTTGTCTTGCCAGTGTTTCCACTGTAACCGTGATGTGTGTGGCGGTGTTAGAATATCCTTTACCCCATATCGTTCAGAATTAGCTAAAAAAGAAATGTTTGTCTTGCCAGTGTTTCCACTGTAACCGTGGTGTGTGTGGCGGTGTTAGAATATCATTTACCCCATATCGTTCAGAATCAGCTAAAAACGAAATGTTTGTCTTGCCAGTATTTCCACTGTAACCGTGGTGTGTGTGGCGGTGTTAGAATATCCTTTACCCCATATCGTTCAGAATCAGCTAAAAAAGAAATGTTTGTCTTGTCAGTGTTCCCACTGTAACCGTGGTGTGTGTTGCGGTGTTAGAATATCCTTTACCCCATATCGTTCAGAATCAGCTAAAAAGAAATGTTTGTCTTGCCAGTATTCCCACTGTAACCGTGTTGTGTGTGGCGGTGTTAGAAGATCCTTTATCCCATATCATTCAGAATCAGCTAAAAAAGAAATGTTTGTCTTGCCATTATTCCCACTGTAACCGTGGTGTGTGTGGCAGTGTTAGAAGATCCTTTACCCCATATCGTTCAGAATCAGCTAAAAAAGAAATGTTTGCCTTGCCAGTATTCCCACTGTAACCGTTGTGTGTGTGTGGCGGTGTTAGAATATACTTTACCCCATATCGTTCAGAATCAGCTAAAAAAGAAATGTTGGTCTTGCCAGTATTCCCACTGTAACCGTTGTCTGTGTGTGGCGGTGTTAGAATATCCTTTACCCCATATCGTTCAGAATCAGCTAAAAAAGAAATGTTTGTCTTGTCAGTATTCCCACTGTAACCGTTGTGTGTGTGTGTGTGGCGGTGTTAGAATAATCCTTTACCCCATATCGTTCAGAATCAGCTAAAAAAACGTTTGTTTTGCCAATATTCCACCTGTAACCGTTGTGTGTGTGGCGGTGTTAGAATATCCTTTACCCCATATCGTTCCGTGGGTGTCGTAATAGCTGACAGAAGGTAACTGAAACAGTAGATGGGTAACAGCATCTATTCGTCATTGTCTCACTATCAATCAACTTACAGTCCATCAGACATAGTTTTCATATAACACTCGTGAATAGAAGAGAACATAATAGAATATGTTTTATTCCACATTTACTTATGGCTTATTTTTATTTTACCACTACTCTGGAAAACTCTACCCTGGGAATAACCAACAAGACACTCAGGGTAGTGTGGTATCTTGTATAACATCTTCAGTTCGGATTTCATCTTCATCAGTCCGTAAAATACTACCGCTGGACAGAGGCCTCTCCCATTGTAGGACCTTAATTGTCACGCTTGATAAGCGACGATCTAAAACGTTCAATCGAAAACCTTCTCTGTATTGTCAACGTTTCTAATTCACAACAATTGTCCGGTACAGAAGAAATTAATAAACATCAGCGAAAAAGTCGGCGTCGTCACGTCGCGTTTTAAATAGGCGTCGTGCGTAACTTAACGTTAAATTCCATTAAACTGAGTGTAGTACGTACATGGAACCGCAAAATGTCGGACGTGGAGCAGCTCTTGCGCAGCTTGTTGGACACTATCGCCACTGAATACGATTACAAAGACTGTGAAACTAAACTGCAGTCGTTTTCTACGGGAGGGGCCAACTACACTTCTCAATTGCACCACATCACGCTATCCGCAACAGGGAAGGATGACCTCAAACTGTTTGCGAAATCGGCTATTGTCAACGAGAATATACGAGCTGAAGCGCGATCAGAGATATTCGAAACTGAAATGTTTTTCTACTCGGAATTGCTCAAGCAGTTTCAAGTGATTGAGAACGAACACAACGTTCCGATAGAATATAGGCTTTCTACTCCAAAATTATACGGTTGCAGTAGAGAATATTTGAAAGAAATTCTAGTACTCGAAGATTTATCGGCACAGGGCTTTCATACTCACGATAGATTGAAGAGTTTTGATTGGAATTACGCCTCCAAATCAGTCACAGAACTGTCCAAATTACATGCTCTATCTATCGCCCATAGCAAAGAATACCCTGAGAAGTTTGATGCACTGTACACGAAGTTCAAGCTACGCACAGACGTGGAGAGCTCTAAGAGCACGCATATTATGGAATGCATAATACGCATGGCTATGGCGGTTATCAAAGAAGAAAACAAATCCAAAGTACAAGCGTTCCTACAGAAGTTTAAAAATAATGAATTCAACAAATTCCTCATGCCATTCCGTCGGCCTTTGATTGCACATGGAGACTTTAGACAGAGTAACTTAATGCACAGAACACGAGAGGTGAGGCTTAGTGTTAATAATAAATACTTAATATAATTAATATATAGTATGTGAGGGTAATATTGTCATCCGGTTAATATGGTCACATTCTTATACCTCAAAAATTACAGCCTTGTTTGCTCCGATGGCTCTGTGATACGATAGCTCTTCATCAATCAATCAAATATTAGAGGGTCAAAAGATCGCTGCTTTATCGACGCAATTTTGACAATAGAAATTATAGTAAATATTTTAGCCGATTTTAATTTTTTTTTAAGTTGCTTTTTCGAAATGTTCCCAATTATTGCCAAAGCTTGTTCGCTATTTTTTCTTAATATATAAGGGTGCGTACAGATTAAGTAACATGTTGTGTAACTTTTGTTTTATAACACGTTCACATTATGTAAAATTGTTTTTCAACATTGCAACATATACTGTACACATGAGAATAACAATGCAGTATAACAATGTTATATGACTTTGTCGTATGACATTGACGTTTGTCGTTCTGCCCTTCGAGTTATATAACATTTGTATCCCGTTATATAACACGTTTTATAATATTCTGCCTCCACTTTACTGAAACATGGTATATAACAACGTTTTATAACATGTTATGTTATATAATGTGTACGCACAGTTAGTTACAATACAAGAATTTGCGTTTTTGTCTCTGTCCTCCTTCTAGCTTTGATTTTATAGGGTGGCAAAGCTTAAGGTAACCGTATTACCCTCACGTACCTTAATATATTATTACATTTAATATATTATAATTAATATAACGTATTTATAATATATTTGTCAGTCAGTGTAACGTGTGACAGAGGCGTTTACGGCTGAGATCTATAGATCATACAGTGACTTTGCTCAGATTTAGCTTACGACAAACTTAGCTGAGTATATGCTCAGCATAATCTTTGATTCTGAATTTATAGTTCTATCGGGCTAAGATTAAGCTAAGGCCCATACAGTCCAAATATTAATGAATGCTTCATTCCACGCATTATGTTTTTGACTTTACTGTATAAAATTAAAAAAATATGTATATTTAAAATCAAAATTACTGTATAAAATTAAAAAATATAAATAAAAGAAAATAAAATAAAAATTCGAAATAAGATTGAAATTACGTAAATAGAAAATGGATTAATGCTATTTATTTAAAATTAAAAGACGGCCTAAAACTACCTATTTATTGTTTTAATTAATTAGAGTAACATAAAAACAACAATTTAAAATTAATACGGTGGTTTTGAATAATATCCTGAGTTTTTCCACAGAATAAACAATAGTACTACGTACAGAAGTTGCACTCTTTTGATGTTGACTGCTTGCCGACATTTTAATAACCTACATAGTTATTATTAATCAGATAAATCGCGCACGCAAGCTAAATAAAAATTTATCGCTTCGCGCGTGTGTCCGTATTATTTTGCATCTTTTCTCCTTACTACGTCACAACGGACTTTTCGTGGTTGCTAAGGGCTGTTAATAAAGAGTAAAAAAATACATTGTGAAATGGTAAATTACTTAGGTAAAGTATATATGCTGACTATAATCGACCATATTATCTACTATGAGTTCTGTGATGCCCAACGCATGCAAGTTGCAAGGCCATTCGTCGGGAATCGCGATGATTTTTTCTTATAGGTAGATAGCGTAGATAGCTTAAACAACAAATAAACCCGAAATACCTATTAACAAGCGATTAACAAGCGATTATAACGCACTTTTCAATATATTTAATGTTGGCCTAAGCAACCCCCTGCCCCGGACGTAAGTGATTATGTCCGCGAGTAGATTGGCAAACGGGACAAAGTCGCGACGGCACGTTGCAAGACCGAATCTCCGACCAAAACCTCGGCCACCCTCGGGACACCATCCGATCCATACGACAACTTAACAATGCGCCCTCGGCGCCAATACAAAGACAGAGCGTTGGGTTCTTTAACCAACAAGAGGTCTCCCACCCGAGGAGGATCCGTCTTGTCAGACCACTTAACGCGCTGCTGCAAAAGATGTAGGTACTCCAGAGATCATCGGTGCCAAAAGCTCTGTTGTCAAAGTCATCTGTTGCAGCAGGCCAAACCTGCTCAACCGCGAAAAGTTCGTTTCGCTGAAGGGGTACTCGGGTAGCGCGTTAAGCGGCTGGCCAATCAGGAAGTGCCCCGGGGTTAGAACCTCCAAATAATTTGGATCAGATGAGAGGGGACAGAGGGGCCGAGAGTTGAGTACCGCCTTAATTTTACAGAATACAGTGGCGAGCTCCTCAAATGTCAAAATGGTTTCACCAATAACGCGACGGAGCTGCGTTTTTGCAACCTTAACCACCGCCTCAAAAATACCGCCCCAGTGGGGACACGCCGGAGGGTCGAATTTCCACTGGATGCCCCTTTTTGACATCGCATTGCCTAAATAAGTCCGGTGGCTGGACAGAAATTCGACGACCTCTTTTAGATACTTATCCGTGCCCTTATAATTCGTTCCGCAATCCGACCGGATCAAGTCCGGCAAACCGCGCCGCGATACGAAGCGGCCCAGCGTGGCCAAGAAGGCTTCCGTGCTGAGGGCACTTACCAGTTCTAAGTGAACGGCCTTAGCGGAGAGGCACACGAAAACGCACAGATAGGCCTTATGAGAACGCGCGTTACGAAGGTTGGAGGACTTGACGAGGAAGGGGCCCGCAAAGTCGGTTCCGACTCCAGCGAATGGTCGGATGGCCCGCACGCGGTCGGGTGGTAAGTCACCCATCATAGGCTGCGATATGGTGGCCTTCAGTTTATAACATGGTATGCACTTAAAGATGACGCTCCGAATGGTGCGTCGGCCAGCCAAAATCCAAAACTCCCGCTGCAAAATAGCCGAAAGAGCGTTACACCCAGCGTGGGCGTTCTTAACATGATGGTGGGTTACCAGCAACCGGACAAAAGCACCGTCCTTGGGGAGCAGCAACGGGTGTCAAGACCCGTACGGCAGTTGAGAATTTCTCAAACGTCCACCAACGCGCAGCATCCCAGCGTCGTCCAGAAAGAGGTTCAGGCGGGCCAGAGCGCCCTTCATGACGGAACCACGCTTCAAGTTTTCAATAGCAGGCTCAAAATGCTCCGCTTGGACCATACGGGTCCAATGCATCAAAGCTTCGCGACGCTCGCTAGGGGACAAAACGCAATCAGAGAGTCGGTTGGACGGGTCTCCCGAATTGCGGAGACAAAGCGGCGCAACCAAGCAGTCACTCTTAAGAGCTTGTCGAGAGAGCTGTACCGTTCCAGAAGAGAGAGATCCCGAGTGGGCTTATCCTTGTATCGACTCGTAGGCCCGGCAATTCGGTAGGTTCGGAGTAATTACCCTGGGGCCCGAGTGACTGAGACTCAAATAACCAACCAGGACCCCACCACAGTGGGTGGTCAACCAGCGGGGCCTCACAGCCGCGAGAAGCGCAGTCTGCGGGATTCAACTCCCCTGGGACATGTCTCCAATTTAGAAAGGTCTCAGAACTCTGGATTTGAGACACGCGGTTCGCCACAAAGACCTCAAGGTTGTGAGGTGCAGCTCTGAGCCAACAAAGTACTATCTCACTGTCCGACCATGCGTAGACGTCCGTAATGTCGACGACAGGCTTCAAGGACGAGTGAACGTGGTTGAGGAGTCGCGTGAGAAGAGCGGCTCCGGACAGTTCCAATTTAGGAATAGTTAATCGGGACCTAATGGGAGCAAACTTACTTTTAGCGAGTACGAGGTGGACTGCAGTATGACCAGACGGACTCACCATCTGCAGATATACGACGGCCGCATAGCCTTTCTTGGAGGCGTCGCAAAACCCATGTAGGGCAGCCCGGCACTTCCTTGGAGGGAGGAAGCACCTTGGCATGGAGACCCGGTTGATATCCGGAAGGGAGGAGACCATGGAGAGCCACTCTCGCAAGAGGGCTCCGCTAATAGGCTCGTCCCAACCCAACCCGGACATCCAGAGTTTCTGAAGAAAGCACTTAGCCGAAAAGATGACCGGGGTGATCCATCCATTTGGATCGAAGGTGCGAGCTACTGTAGGCAGCACGGAGCTTGGTCCATGCTTTAGGAGGTGGATTCAGTTTTACTCGATACGTGAAGGTGTCCTGAACAGGCTGATATTGAATGCCCAGCACCGTCAACAAATTAGGATATTCAGGGTGCTCGAACAGATGAGGGTCTTGTTGGTCCTCTCCTGGGAGGTCCTTCAAAATATGGGGGGAGTTCGACAACCACTTGCGCAACTAATAACCTCCGGACTTAAGGATGGCAATTAATTAGTCTCGCAAGACCAGAGCCTCCTCGACGGTGGCGGCACCCATACAAATGTCGTCCATGTAGACCGAAGTCTCCAAAATAGAAGCTCCCCGAGCGTATCTTAGGCGCTCTCTCTTCGCGAGTTCAAGGAGGGTGCGCATGGCGATATACGGGCTGGACCGGAGTCCATAGGTGGTGGTGTTCAACACAAACACCTGTATCGGATCGCTGGGCTTCTCGCGCCACAATATCAGCTGATATCGACGGTCATCACGATGGACCACTGATTGTCGAAACATCATCCGAATGTCGGCTACAAAAACGACTTGGTGTCGACGGAATTGGGTCAAGATGTCGGATATGTCCTTGATCAGTTTAGGACCAGAGTGAAGACACTGGTTCAGGGACACACCATTCGACGTGGGGGCGGAGCCGTCAAAAACTACCCGAATCTTACTCTCAGGGGTCCTCAAGACCGCATGGTGAGGGAGGAAGTAGTGCTCCTGTGAATGCCATTCGAAGTTGGACGGTGACATGTGACCCAGCTCTTGATACTCGCACATGAACTCGACATATTTGTCGCGAAAGGATGGGTCGCGCCGCATACGGCGCTCCATGGAAAGCAACCTCTTCTCGGCTAAAGCACGAGATAACCCAAAGAGGGGCGTGAGTCCAGAAAGGGTAAACGAGTGACGAAACGACCGTCGACCCGGCGTCCGGTATTGTTCTGGTAGAACAACTCGCACTCACGGTCCAGAGGGTCGACTCGAGCTGCATGTGGTGGTTCCTCAATTTCCCAGAACTGCTAGAGGGCGTCCGAAAGGGACACGCCCACAACGGAGAGCGGGTCGGCCGTTGGAGGGGGAGGAGACCACATAACCGGTCCAAAGAAGCTGTGCCCAAATATCATGGACATGGCTGACAAGCCATCGGGCTGCAGAGCCCGTATCTCACCTAATAAGATGAACCCCAGGGCGTCGGCCCCCAGTAGCAAATCTATAGGACCAGGTTGGGACCATCGAGTGTCTGCCGGTCTCAAATCCGACGCACAGCGTACCGCGCCGTCGTTTATATGAACGTTAGGTAGAAACCCTACAATGTCATCGAGGACATTTACCTTGACTAAAATGTGAAGGTGTTCACTGGCAGGGCTGAACACCAACTCCTCTTGTCCCCTAGGAGCAGGAGGCTCGGCGCCTCCAATACCTACCATCGGGCGTGATTCAGAGCTCCAGGGGAGCCCCAGTCTTCACACCAACCAAGTAGAGGCCACACTACGTTGTGAACCCGAATCCAATAGAGCTCGAACCGTTAAGCGGTCGCCGCTCGGATTGTACACCTTCACTGAGGCCGTCGACAATAGAACAGTTTGACAGGTGGACTGCTGATGGCTCAAAGGCTCAGTGGAGGCGGCCGTGGCGGGAACTAGGGCGGCAGCCTTCTATCTGGAGCTGCCTCTGTCGGACCGGCACCCGAACCGGGGGCCCCGAGAACGCCACTCCAACGGCACCTCGCTGACCCTTGGCTGGAATTCCCCGAACGGGCCGACCTGGGGAAATTCGGGGATCCCCGGCCCCGAGGCCCGGGACCGAAACGAGGTCTCCGGAACCCGATAATACCGGTGCCGACCAAAGGGGGGCGGGCAGCGTTCCAGTCGCGGCCACTTAGCCAACGGGGGTGAGAACGGTCTAGCTGACTGCTGAGAAGCCGCGAAGCCGCTCTCAACACGCTGAGGGGGGGTAACGACCCCTTCGCCCCTGAGGGAACGACTCCCAGACCGGTCGGAGGAGGGGCTCCCCTCAGAACGAGGGGCGCTGTGGTCAGCCGGCGAACGCCGAGCGTCGCCCGACAGGGGGCGTGGCTGAGCGCCCCCGCCCGTGGGAGTCGGGGGGCTGGCAGGGCCCGGGGAGGACGAGCCGCGCACAGCCAGGCACAAAATGACATGATGGTTGCCCTGGCAGTGCATGCAGGGCCGCTGGTGCGGGCAGTCTCGTTGTAAATGCCTCTCCAGGCACGAGTAGCACCAGCGGCGTTCCCGGGCGATGGTTCGCCTCGCCGGAGCCGGCTTGCGCAATAGCTTAGGGCACGACGTCGCCCGGTGGTCTGATGCTCGACAGTAAGAGCAGGGGGGGTGCCTCCCTGGCCGCTAAGCCACTATAAGAGGGTAGGGGGGGCGCCCTCCCGCGGGGGCTCCGCTCGGCCTCAGGGGGGTCGGCGATGCCTTGACCGTCGGATTCCGCCTCTCCCTGGGCACCGCTCGGGCGACATCTGGGGGGCCCTCGCCGGCGCTTGCTGCGTTCTCCAACTGCCTCCACTGCTCCTCCAGGAACCGCAGCATGTCTCTAAAGGGGGGGATATACGAGGTGCCATCCCCGCCGTACCTTTCCTCAAAATGGAGTCGAAGGTCGAGGGGCAGGCGGGACAGCACGATGTGGAGTAACAAAAAAGACCACTCGTCCACCGGTAAATCCAGCCGCCGCAACGAGTTGCACGTCACCACGACTGGATTCACGATGTCCTCACGTAGTCTGGTCCGGTCCTTCAGCAGCGGGAGGTTCAGCAGCCTCCGAACGTGATCGTCAGCAATCCGCCGGACGTTGGCGTACCTTCCAGCGAGAAGCTCCCTGGCGTTTTGGTAGGCGTCGTCCGATAACTTAAGGTGGCCGACGACGCCCAGGGCCTCCCCCTCCAGTGATGCCAGGAGGTACCCCATTTTTTGGATGGGGGTCAAGTCCCTCCGGGCGTCCACCAGGCTGTCAAATAGCCCGACGAAAGTCAGCCATTCCGAGATGACCCCGGAGAACCTTAGCAGGTCCAGCGTTGGAATCGTCCCAACAGTTCCGGCTGAGTGGGCGGCTTCCGAGGGGACTCGAGCAGGCCACTCAGCCGAGCTTCACGCTCCTTCTCCGCGTCCTTGGCTCCCGCCTCGATCAAATCGTCCGTGAGCACGAGGAACTGCTCGTAGTCCGCGCGGCAGGAGTCCAGGACTCCCTTTTCCACTTCCATGTCATCGAGCTCAGCGTAAACCTCCTCCACGGCAACCCTTCGAGCATCGACCTGCTCGAGCCTCTTCCTCATGTTATAGACCCTATCCGGTCGACCTATCAAGGCATGTGCGCTGGTAGCCCAGCGCAACTCAGTCCGCAAGCAACGAATCAGTAGCTTGTGTGATGGCATCACTACTAAATACAGTTACTACGCGGCTCAATTCTTTAAAATTACAAATTAACAAATAATAAATACAAAAAGAATTAACGAGTAACAAAATGCCGTTCCTATCAAATAAAGTTAAATAGAAATTACACAAATACGGTTACCGTTAGTACGTTTCGTGTTAACTACAAGTTAGCACAAAAAAAAAACACAAATCAAATTGACAAATAACAAACACTAGTACGATCAAATCAAGTTAAAATACAAATAAAGGTACACACCACAGTCGATCAACAAAATTATCCGATTACGTGATAGCCCGGCTGTGGTAAGTGTAGTGAGTGTAGGTGGTATTTGTGTGAGACTGTGTGTAAGTGGCCTGGGCGAGATGACACGACGCTGTTCTTGGAGAAGGTAGTCTCTTGTAGCCCGGAACAATTCCCTTCTTGAGGCAGTAGTTTAGTCTATTCCCGTAACGGCACAGTCAAAGAAAAGAACCTCAACGAAATCTAATTCATAATTCCGTAAAGAACAACACGTGTTCCCGCGCACGACCGCGGCAGTGGTTTTAACTCCGTCCGTGACCAAAAATTAAGTGATAAAACCCGAAAGCGTCCGTTCTTACGGAAAGCGTTATACAATGAATCGGCGCGTATCTCGTCCGTCGGCCGGGCCGGAATGTCGGCGCGGGAGGGGGAAGGTGACCTCGCTACCGTGCGAAGCTATTAACAAGCGATTATAACGCACTTCTCAATATATTTAATGTTGGCCTAAACATTCTTAATCTCTGTCGATGATTGGCATTATATCTCGGAGAATCTCCGCTGCCGCGCGACATGCTCAGTGTTTATAGGGAAAGAATAGAAGACGACACTGTATATATTGACAAGGTGATGAACAAATTTAGACAGCAACGTAGACGCTTTCAGTTTTTCTATGTATCTTCTTTCCTGACAGGAGGGTGGAAGTGCCCTTGCCCTTGTACCCTGCTCCCGGTGCCCATGTATAGTTGAACCTTTGATTATATACATATGTTGAACATATAATAATAATTTAAATTTGATATTTTTAACGTAAGAATTATAATGATAGATTTAATTTGATCGATATTTATAATTTAATTATAAAATTTATCTCCAGAGATCTACGTATCCAAATATTGATTTTTATATTGATAGCAAATGTGCTATTTTATTATTTATATTTTAACTCAGTCAAGGATTTGGCTGCTCATAAATCTGCTTCTATTGCATGTTATTCAATTTAAAATTAGTCTAAGTAATTTGAATGAAAAAATGGTACAACAATGGAAAAAATAGGGGTAATCTCTAGCAACAATAACAACAATTTAAATTATCCAAAATGCAGCACACAAATAGTTAATGTAAGTAAGTTAGTGTAAGTTATTTTTTTTAACAAATAGAGCGTACAAAACTAATTTCATCAAACGTATAATTTTTGTTTTCCAGGATGGACAGTTAGAAGTGGTACTACTAGACTACCAGACGCTTCAAATCTCCAACCCGATCATTGATCTGGTGTACTTTATCTTCAGCGGATCCGATGAAGAGTTTCGTGCTAAACACTATCGCCAACTCCTCGACCATTACTACTTGGAACTTTGCAACGCTCTTACTAGGTTGGGTGTTGACGCCAACGAGGTGTACTCAAAGGACGATTTTGAATACGAATTGGAAAAGGTAAAACAGAAACATATTTTCGCGAGTTCTAACTTTGATTTAACCACGAAGCAAATACAAAGAGGAGGTATTGTAATTAGATTTTACTATGTAACAACGCGTGAAAATTTGCGGGGTGAGGGGTGTTAAACCCCGTCCATTAATCATTTTCCATCTACTGATAAATAGTAAAACAACACGCATCGTTCCATTCCATATCGATGTTGCAATGTAGTTTAGCTAACTTGACGATAGATGGCGGCCTGATCACAAAATGATTACAAAAACTATAAAACTGATAATTTGGCGATTAAAAATTCTTTTGGACTGAATGCAAAACAAAGTTTAGCACCTTCGTATGGTTATTTTACCAATACTGAGCTCTACGTACCTTTATATTTTGAGTTTCCATGACACAAAGTGTCGCCATCTATTGTCGAATATATTTAATTATATTTGAAAGCCGACGCAAAGACATTTTTCTAGAACTATAAAATATACTATAAAATAAAATTAGGTATAAAATTACTTACAAATGAAATGTGATGCCACCTACAGCATCAGAGCGTCTATCTGAGTAGTTTTTACACGATAAAACACAACACTTCATCATTTTCTTCTTAATACTGCGAAAATACACCGATTTGCGATTTTCGACACAAACGCACAGGACGAACGCTGACAGTATACTAACTAAAACCAAGCCCAATGTGATGATGTCAGGACCTAGTTAGAATCACAGTGCACAGTTGCTTAGGCCGTCTCCTCTTTGTATTTGCTCTGTGGATTTAACCTATACAATCATAGTGAGTAATCAAAATATCTAGAAGGTAGGACCCTTTTTCTGCTAGAGTTCCCATTTACATATATACCAAGCTTAGCTTACTTAGCTATTTCTGTTTACAAATACTGTTTACAAAGTGCCTGCACTGCTTTGTTCCAGTCTGAAGAGTGCAGATAGCCAATATGATGACAGACAGTGAGACATTTCGTGTTTGTTCTCGGAGGTGAAACGCATGTTTTTTTTTAATTTGAGGAAAGCTGCATGTGTAGACTGTATGTTAGTTTGTCACTTGAGTTTTATAAAAGAATATATATAAATAACTATATTTTTATATTTCAGATTCAGCCATACGGTCTGATGATCAGCTTAGTTTTGCTGCCGATGGTGACCGTTGAATCTGAAAACGCGCCAAAAATGGACGGCGATAATGACATCAGGGTTTTCGCGATCAAACCGAACGAACTCGCAGCAACTAGATTGAATGGAGTCATCAATGATTTTGTTAGGCTAGGTGTATTGTGATATTTATAACAATTCACCTCGTATTACACAAAATTAAATGTTACAATACGAATAGCAAAAAAGAATCGGAAAATTGTTTGTCTGAAAAACAATATCAATTTTAATTCTAAAATTCGTACAATAATACAAAAATAACCATGGAAAATAACAATAACAAACTCAAGCAAGTAGTTCAGGAGCGAAAAACGAGTTTATTTGAATCATCATATCGCGTAAAGTTCAAAATTATGCTATGGAACACACGTTAAAAGAAGCTTATTCGGCAAAAGACTGTATTCTCCAGAAATTGTTTTATATCTACACGTTAGGAAGTACTAAATGGCGCGCTTTGAAAGTATCCACAGATGCATAAATAAATTGTGGTGGTGAAGAGTAAAATGGAAATGACCTTAGATTAGATATATATAGATTAGATTAGACCTCCAGCAAACTGGCAGGAATGAGCAAGATATTTTTTATTTTTTTTTTAGATTAGTAATTTCCTCCTCCTGCAGTGAATTTATTTAACTTTGGTGGGAATTTTGATAGGCTTTTTGTGACGTTTGACGTTTGTTTTCGTTGTATTATATGAATGTAACAGTAAAGGTTACTAGCCGATAACAATTTTCTATTAGCATCTTTTTTTAGATAATGTTAGTTGGTAAATTATGTCCTCCAGATCGAATTCTGGTTTCAACGGAGATTAGCCATCTGCGCAGGACAAGGTAATACGAGCACGAGTCTGTGCGCAAGACAGATACACTAACTAACTCTCATAGTCTGATGAGGCCACCATCTGACACGACCGGAGAAAGATCAGGCTCAGAACCAACGGCTTTACAAGCTTACGGCACAGGGGTGAAAAAAATTACCGTTAACTTCCTAACTTCTTGCTGCTACTGAGTATTTCGGTTACGGTTCAAATAGATATGACCACATAACCAGGTCCGATTGCTGGATAATGCAGAGACTTGCTTAATCATACAGGGAGAAAGATGATTATTTACAGCCTTCTTCGAAAAAGGTAAAGGTTCTCAATTCGAATGTTCTTTAAATATAATTTAAACATGGAATTACAACCTTGAAAATCGAAGGAGTTGAAAAAGTTTTTTTTTGTTTTTTGAAACAAATTCGCATGTGAAACGTATTTTAACAATGGAATCGTTTTTGATTGAAGTAAGAAAACATTTCGGTGTTTAAAAGTGTATCTGAGTAATCATTAGTTTTAACTTAGTAAGAAATTATACGTTGACTGAAAACTAATTCTATATCAGAATCATTTTGTTGTATGATTTGCAAAATATTTCTTATTTTATTGAAACATTAATTGTAATATAAAGCGAAAATTAATACCTATTTAAAAAAGAAATTATCAAATTTTTAAAATATTACAGATATTTTCTTTATAGGATAAGGGTAACAAACAAGGACTCTCCACCTGATGGTCAGTGGTTGCTGTGGCCCATAGACATCCACATCTACCCGCGATTACGAATCAAAATGCAGTGAGGAATAAGATTGAAAGAATGCCTCGTTTCCAGTAAAAAGGGTTACCGGTTCTCTACAGTCACCACACAAAACACAGCAGCGTTAAGCAGCTAATTTACGCTGGTATTCTGTGAGAGCGTGGTCCTTCCCCGGTCAAGCCGAACCAATCATGCTACAACTATACCAGTAATATAGCTGCAGCATGGCTCTACCACATAAAAACTTAAACGTAAAAAACTGCCACTTTTATGTCGATATGTAAATCAAAGTATGAAGTTCCACGGAGTAGGCTCTTATTTATTAGTTCTAATCGATTGTTTTTAGACACTACCCGCTATCTTTCTTATCAAAAGTGTTTATATTGTTTGCATGTAACGCGAGGATGACATGAGAATATTTGTAAAATTACTATATACTTTAAAAATCGTGGGAGTTATTTAGGGTATGTTCTGATATACACTGCGAGCACTGCTCAGTGCTTTCATTGTTAAATACCATGAAATGACCACACCATTTCACGAAATGATAGACTACTTTATGATATACATATAATTAATTCTACCATCTGGCCACGACATAAATAAAAATCTCTTTAATAAAACTATAATGATAGTGAAAATTTTGCAATAATTGCAGACAGATCAGTTATAATCAGTTATAGATTATAGATTAGGAATTGAAATAAAAATCTTATCAATTTTCATATTTTTGATAGATGTCAGTATTATCTATTGAAATTAAAAGTGTATTTTAAAATATAATAACAAAATACTAAAAAACTAAACGTTAGAATTTTTAAATAATTTTAAAAATCTAATTATTTAAACATGTAAATGTAAGTTATTAATATTATTTAATTTATTAGTAACTGTGGGCAAAATATACTACTTTATACTTTTGATGATAGATGGCGCTGTTTTGATAACTAAATCGGTGTAGTTTCAAATTACTTTACCAAGGTTATATACTAACTATATTTTAAACTTTATTTGAAAATATGGTATTTATTCGAAAAACACCGATCAGACGGGAGCCTATAACTAAGATATAATAGAAAATTAACATCTAAAGGAAGAAAATGGTTAAACCTCTTTTTTGAAGGTCCGTAATCGGATAAAAAGGGGCCTATAATTTGCTCCGGGTTACTAAGTACCTACATACGAAATTTCATGTAAATCGGTCCGGTAGTTTTTGCTTGAATAAAGAATACAGAGACAAACAGACAGACAGACAAAAAATCTAAAACCCACTAATTTGGCTTCAGAACCCTTTATTTAGTCACCTGGATTTGTTTTTTTTTCAAGAATGTATTAGAGTTACAGACACGACTTTTCTACGGATTTGTTATATGTATAGATTAATCGTTTCTTTACTGTGCCATTAAATCAAGAAAGTTATTTAAAAGATCTTAATGTAGTTTATCAAATTGCAGTCTTTAACGGTTATTCAAAAAATATCACTGACAATGTAATTAAAAAAAAAAGACAAAAACATATCTTTCGAAATTCTCTGTACGTGGTTAAACCTCAAAGTGCTCGTCGACATGTGAGTAGTTTGACCTACTTAGGATACATATCTCATAAAATAGCTAATATCCTTCGACATAGCGTTGTTTACGTGGTGTTCAAAACAAACAATTAAAAGGATAAAAAGTAGCCTATAAGTTGCTCCGGATAACTAACTACCTACATACAAAATTTTATGTAAATCGGTCCAGTCATAAATAATACACTATACAGTAGTTTTTACGTGACGATTCACGTAAAAACTACTGTATAGGACTACGGAATACACAGACAGACAGACAAAAATTCTAAAAACCACTGGTTGGGCTTCAGAATCCCTTATTTAGTCCCCTGGACTTGTTTTGTCAAGAATATATTAGAATTACAGACACGATTTTTCTACAGATTTATTTCATGTATAAACTAGCTGTTCCCCGCGACTTCGTTCGCGTGTTAGTGTTTTTATGTTTCTGCGCGGAACCCTGATTCTTTTTCTAAAATAAAAGTAGCCTATTTTACTCCTTATGAAATCAGCTATCTGCCAGTGAAAGTCCCGTCAAAATCGGTCCAGCCGTTTCGGAGATTACCCGGAACAAACAGACAGACAGACAGACAGACAGACAGACAGACAAAAATTTTAAAAATTGTATTTTAGTTATAGGTATCGTATTTACTTTCACATGCATTTAGTAAAAAACTGTAATTTTGACATTACAAACAGACACTTCAATTTTATTTATTTGTATAGATGTAAAGATTAGTCCTAATACGAGGGCGACTCTGAAAGTTTTTAGAACTGGCCACTTGTAAGCGATATATCTAATAAAAAAATATTATACTACTTTGCCAATATTATTGTGTATGTATTTTATTCATTTGGCGGCAAATTGAAAATTGTCTGTGTCACGTCAGCATGAATTTAACGCGAGAAAATTATCGTACAATGATTTTTTATAACTTTCTGTCATAAGTCAACAAGAAAGTAATGATAGACTTCGATTGGCCTTTCACGATGAAGTTCCATCTCGTGCCACTGTTTAGTACTGGTTTAATGAGTTTAAACGGTGTCGCACTAATCTCACCTATGATCTGCGCGAGGGATGGCCTTCTATGGCGACGACTGAAGATAACATCAGTGTTGTGCGGCGTATGATAGAGACGGACAAAAGAGTGACTTATCAACAGATTTCGACAAGCGTTAGGTCAGGAAGCTTTGTATCCGGTGGATACCTCATAATTTGACAGAGGCCCAAAAACTCCGTCATGTTGATTGCTGTCGTGAAATGGTTCAAAGATTTAACGGAGGTGACTCAAATGCTGTGTTCGACGTTTATGTTTACGTGGTAGAGCCATGCTGCAGCTATATTAATAGTATAGTTGTAGCACGAATGGGTCGGCTCGACCGGGGAAGGACTGAGCTCTCACAGAATACCAGCGTAAAATAGCAGCTTAATGCTGCTGTGTTTCGTATGGTGAGTGTAGAGAACCGGAGACATTCTATCTTAGTCCTCACGGCTGACAACGCATCTTCATTTTAATTCGCAAATGAAGATAGATGTAGATCATAGACATATGAGCCACAGCAGCCACTTACCATCAGGTGGACTGTGTGCTCGTTTGTCACCCTAATTCTATAAAAAAAACTTAGACGAAAGCTGGATTTATGGTTATGATCCTGAAACTAAGAGACAGTGCTGTCTGGGTGTTTCCTTCCGAGGAGTTGCGAACTAAAGTGAAGAGATTGAAGTGTGGGAAAAAAGATGGTGGCTTCGTTCTTTAGAAGGACAGGTCATTACGCAACATTTGTTTTAGAGGATCGGAAAACAGTTACTGCAGAGTGGTACACTAACAATTGTTTGCCACTTGTCTTGGAAAAAGTTCGGGAGAAAAAACCTCGCAGTAGGATCTTCCTTCACCACGACAACGCCTCATCGCCCACCGCCAAGCAAACAATCAACTATTTGGCGACGATAGACGTAGAATTACTGGGTCACCCGCCCTATAGCCCCGACGACCTTGCGATTTTTA